TCCCGACATGTTATCTTTGATAACGCGTCTGTGGAGAATTATAAAAAAAATTAAACGATTCTCTTTAAAAATTTTTACAAGCAGCGTAATAAGATTTAACGCACAGACAAGTGTATTTAAATTGTTGCCGGGTACCTCCATAATAGAGAGCTGGTACAGGCGATTGTCGTACATAAGGGTACAAGTATTCATACAACTGATAACATCTCAACAGCTGCTAACCTTTAAATTAATCAAGTCTCATTTGCGAGACCGGCTGAGACCACTTCAGCGTGAAATTCGAATCTCAGCTTGTGCCAAAACTTTCCTGCATTGACACAAGATAAAACACTTGGCAATTAATTATATTCATCAAATAATTTCCCTAGTAATTCATTAAAAAATAAATCGATTTCCTACAGGGTGATCTGAGAGTGGGAAGGTGGGAAGGTGGGAAGGTGGGCCCTTGGAAATTTTTCAGTCAATAATTTAAATGATAAAAATTTTTAAAAATGGTGTCCGCTTTTCGGGTCTTCGTGCGATGGCCGGTAAATTCGTCTAATATTGGATGTCTCTAATATTTTTATCGAGTATCGCATAACTGTTGTTTCCGAAGGTTTTTCGTTTTTTTTTTTTTCGTTGCGCCCTGAAGATGCTATCCCTGAAGAGGATATCTGTTGACATGTGCAAAAAATACTTCTATACCCGAGCCCCTTGGAGATGCCCCGGGTTTGCCCACAGCAACATCAAACTGCAACAGGTGGCACTCGTGGAATTGGATCCGCATCTTCTCCTCGCCAGCAAAACTGGTGGCCCTTTTTTTTTTATCGCTCGTACGGAAGCTCTATCTCTGGATCTCCAGGGTGTATCGGATCGTGTTGTTGTTATAACAGTTCAATGGTTGAAAACTCAAATAATGACAACTACGACGAAGAAAGAAAATATATAATTATCAATGATGAACGTTAAATATAGGAGAGAATCGTCCGGGGGTCGGTCAATGCGATCAATAAATGGTGAAAGAGAGCATCATCAAGATCCATGAGGAGATAGATGCACGGGTGTACTAGTTGTACAATTAATTGATCAAGTCTGGTGGGTGAGGATGGGAGATGGCTGGAGAGAAAATTGAGGCAATTGCAGGGAGAGGACCAGGGGAGAATCCCAGTGGATTACAACGTCGTTGACTAGGTGGGAGACAATCTAATTGAGATCAATTGCAGCGCAGTCAGGGTCAACTTACCGTCAGCCAACAAGTCCTATCGACTTTCTCCACTTTTTCATACGTTTCCTTTCATTCTGTTGATAATTCACATCCAGCGGATTTCTTTATTCAACTCTTTTCCACGCTTATCGATTTTTTTACCAGAATTTTTTTGAATAAATTACCGTAATACGTGCTGATATCGACAATCCGTCGAGTTGGTTTTTCCATTGATATGGTAATCAAGCAATTTTTCACCGGACAATTGTGAAAAAGTCTGTGGAAAATGGAAGTCTTCGGGGTTTAGGAGTCAATTAATGGAGTTGTCTCGTGGAAATGTTTGGGAGATAATTTTCCATTTGATATTGTCGGAAATATTGTCCGGTCGTCGTGACCTAGTTTCTCTTTTGATTTTTCAATGCTAATATTTTTTGACGCTTTTCTTTACTCCATGTCCCATGTTTTTTCCGAGGTGGAATTGCCGATTGGATTTTTCTCGTGGCCTGGGGTAATCGATATTTATGAAATTGAATTCTGGGGTTGGCACGAGGGGAGAATGTGGGCCAAATTTAGGTTGGGAAGTCAGGGACTATATAATGGTTATTCCCATTTCGTTTGGCCACTGCGACTTCCTTTGGGGTAATTTTTTGAAGGAAGGAAATGAAGTTGGGAGAATCAAAGAGTTTTCAAAGTTTAAGACAACTCAGCGTATCCTCATTGATGGTGGAATAGTTTTGACAATTTTATTTGATTGACTCCGGGGAATTAATTATTTATACTCAGCGATGAAAAATGATCTATCCGTTTTTCTTTCGATTTTTTTTTTGATCGATTATTTTCCGACAAGTCTCCAAACCTAAGTCCCATCATTCCTAATCTTACGCCTTACTAATCCTAGACCTTAACCACTAGCCTACCACGCACCTGTGTTGATTCATACTTAATATTATCCACAGGAATTCAGTAAACGAGTCGATAATGAATTAAATAATGAGAATGTAAAGTACCCAGACAAATCGTTAAAATTTTTCTACTCATTCCCAAAAAAATTTAATAGTATCAATTGCAGAAGGTGCAGTTCACTTGAACAACTGACTCAAAATCAAATGAAACTCATTAATTCATTATCAAAATTGATTAATTAATTATAAAAAGCAACTTTTTTGAATTCCTATGGTCTCCCCAATTTCTCATTTTGTCATGAATGATCTGAAAAAGTTTACAACCGGTTAGTGATATGTGTGAATCAGGGATGCGAATCGTGAATTTACTGGACAGCGAAATATCCTTGGATATCACGAACGGATCAAAAAACTTGGGGAGTAAGGATTCATCATTTTGGGTAAAATGTGAATTCGCTCATATGGAACGAAAGAGCGTTACGCCAGCTTCACAAATGTCACGGGAATGGACTTGTAACCTTGATATAACGATCTATAAATCACCAGTTTTTATTAATTATCATTCGTCTTTGCAACGAGCAAAGAGTAGATTATTCAATTTTCACCATTTCAAGAAACTTCTCAAATATTACCAACATTTTCTTTTCTCCCACAATAATTTTCCATTTTTTTTTCCAAAATCCATTAACATTAATATATCAATTAAATATAAATAAAAAAATCAACAGTTCGAGAGTAATGAGAGTACTTTCAATTAACTTTATTGTTAAAGTCCCCCATTTTTTAATCAACACCCAAATAATTTTTGGACACCCCTTTTTTTTACGCTAAACAATTTTGTAAACCACAACGCGTAATAGTTGGTCGATCAATAAACAATTATAGACGAATCCTGAAAGCTCGGGGATTACAAAGTGACTTGCTCTCAAGAATTGGGCGCGTGTCTCAGTAGCTCATATTCCAAAGAGCTGTTTATCCTCAAATATGCAAACATGAAAATATCGGTTTATATATCACCATGAAATAGTTGCGACAACAAAAACAAGAATCGGAAAACCACAAGTGGCGTTTAAGGTTTTGATATGGAGTGAGACACAATTTGATGAAATAACCACAATAGATTTGACTTTTATCTTGAATTCTTGGGACAACGAAATTGTGAATTATACCATTGATTCACAGGATGCCTGCGGTACACCATGAGTGGAAATAGCGAATGGATCACATGATAATTACTTGTTTTGATACCGGATTTACCCGAATATTTGCAATATTTATTTCGACATGAAGACCGTAGGTACTGTCTACATTTTTGCAGATAAAACACACTTTGTTAGAAAATTGATTATTAATTATTGGTAATAATCACTGAATCCCTCTTGCTCTCTTCTATTTTATTTTGTATCGAGATTACATTAACCCATTCATCTCGTTTAAATATTCACTTTCTTGTTGACATTTTTTCTATCACCACTTCACTCTGACAAGACAAAAACCACATCCCAATGGTTCGAAAGATTAACGCGCAATTTGACATAAAAAGATACGAACCACATTGAGATATGGAAAAGAGAGTACATCCTTTTTAGAAATTAACACAATCAAAAGGAGTTTTCATTTTTTTAATAATTCCCTTGAAAGGAATTATGCACATAACGAAAAGGCGCGTTACAGATAATTTTTGTCTAAAAAGAAATTGGAATAAAGCTGAAAAGTCATTTACCACGAACATGAGAGATCGTTTGGATCAATTTTATTCCGTGTCCCCGGAAAAACCGTAAATTATTCATCGCATTCGTGTGGTAAAATCACTCTTGACATATACCGATAGCTAAATCACTAGAAAATCTCTGCGCATACAATTGATGTCTCTTTTGATCAATTATTTATCGACATAGTGCGTCATTTCACTGAAATGCGGAATGAGAATTTTCCATGAATTGGAAACAATTCGGAGTAGCTTAGTTATAAAATATTTCTCCTTCACCTTTATTGAATAAAAAATTGCAAAAACGATATCAATTGCCGATCTCTGAATACAGAGTAATAATAAATAAATTCAATAGAATAGTATGATACAAATAAAAGTTAGGAGTTAGCCTTAGGAGTCAGTGGACTGACAAGAATAATGACTATTAGTTACAACCCTCTGTTGACTGGAAGATCGTTTTAAAACTTGTCCTCTTTCATTTTTGCATTTGAAATACTCCCAATGTACTCGTAGGACAGCTCTAAAAATCCTCGGAGGCAGTAACGACGAAATATATAAGAGTGCTTTTGATGGTTATATCTGCAACAATAAACCCGCGGCGGTGGTCGATCGTAGTTGGCGACTCGTTGCCATCTCCCAAGAACTTTTAACTACAGTTACAAGGGAATAGAGGTATATCTCACGAGACTACGAGACTGCGATGAGTACAAGTTGCCCCTTCAACCTCTTCTTCCTGGAGATATCGCCGATCCTAAAACGGCCATCGTCCATCCCTTTCGTACCAATCAAAGTAAAAGTTTGTTCTGAGAATATATCTCATATAGAGCCACTGCTAAAATCCAGAAAATCCTTTCCTTTTACTTCCACTTTGCGTTATGTACACATGGACTTCACTCCAACTCCTAAACCCATCAGGGACTCAATTCGCCTCCAGTAGACTTTCTGCGGATTATTCCATACCTCAGGCATCTCGATCAATCGAACATGGATTCTCATAAAAATCTTCGGTTTTCTCATGATTATATCTATGAGACGCGAGGGACTATTCATTGGTACCGCTGGAAATCACTCTGTCACTTTTTTTTTTAATATGGCGGGTTGAAATGAGATCAAATAATTTTTAGTCAAACTCAATCACAAAGAAATTAATCAACGGATGTGATGGCCATTTGAATTAAATATTCTGTCGTAATTTCAATTTCAGAATTCAATACGACACAATCTGTCCTTACATAACAGATTTATGCGAGTGCAGAATGAGGGAACCGGAAAGAGTTCATGGTGGATGATAAATCCAGATGCTAAACCCGGAAAATCAGCCCGAAGAAGGTAAATAAAGAACATGAACAGACAGCTGAAGAATTCGTTCCTTTACAATATTCCGGTTGATCCATGGATGAATTATTCGCAGAGCGACTTCGATGGAGACGAGTAAATTCGAGAAGCGAAGAGGTCGAGTCAAGAAGAAGGTGGAGGCATTGAGGAATGGCTTGCAGGCTGATGCAACACCAAGTCCTAGTAGCAGTGTCAGTGAGGGTCTTGATCTATTTCCCGATAGTCCACTCCATGCCGGAGGTTTCCAGCTGTCCCCTGACTTTCGGTAATTCAAAAAAAATACACACAAATGGTCCTTCGTCAATTATTTCTAATAATCAAAATATTTCTCCATAATAGTCCGAGAGCTTCGAGCAACGCCTCATCGGTAGGTCGCCTCAGTCCGATTCCAGCTGTGCTTGGAGAGCCAGATTGGACCGGAACTTATGGCTCCTCATACAGTCCTGAACAATTAGGTACAGTAGATTATTGATCCATAGCATGATGATTGAACATGTTGAATTAAATAATTGCTCTTGATGTTGAACTCTTGGGTTTAATGATAAATGGTAATCCTTTAAGCTGGTAATCTTGCCGAATCGATGAAGCTGGAATCCTACCAGATGTATCAAACATCACCACCGAATCATCAACAGCAAACAGTGCCACCACCTTCCTACTTCGAGGCACAGTACCAGAGGAACAACACATTGCGTAAAGCATCGTCACCGTACGGTTTACCACCAACACCACAGCCTGCAAACCAACAGAGATGTCCCATTCATCGTCTCCAGCCTTGCACATGTCAAATGGTGCGTATCAAATTCAAAATTATTGTCCTTAATATGTGCCTCGACCCTCCACCCCTTGCCAAAATTATCCCATGAAAAATAGATGAAATGCCCGTAACCAATGAATCTAATCATCAGAAATAATTGGAGATCTTTGATAAATGGAATTTTTATGTCAGAATTTGAGTCCCGTCTCTGGGATGTCACCGTCGTACCAGAGTGAACCCAGCACATCACCACTGGGTGCACAACAACAAACACAAGCTCAATCACAAATGAGAACAGTCAACGAGCAAGAGCTACAGTACCTTCTGCAATCTCAGAGTCAAACAGACCAGCAGAATCAACCGAGACAGGCACAAACGCGACCAACGAATTCTAGTCCCCCACAGACACCAACATCAACGCCGAGTACAATGATGGGTCAATTAATGGGTGCATTAAACAATACGACGTTACTTGATGATTTGAATATTAATATTGAGGGGCTTCACGGTGGTTTCGATTGCAATGTCGACGAGGTAATGATTATTTTTCCTCCATATCCAACTCAGTCATCGATTGGAAGTCCAAATTAATCATTAATTATTCGTTATTAATGATCTTCTGTTCTTTTAGGTAATAAAACATGAGCTTTCGATGGATGGTACGTTGGACTTCAATTTTCAACAAGGAATAATGGGTACAGCAGCCGTTCAAGTCACTGACACTGCCATGAATCACGGTAACGTTGTTACGTCAAACAATCAAGCTGGATCGTCAAATCCATCCAGTGGCGTTTATGCCACCACAAATTCAACGACACCTGCTGCACCACCCTCGTGGGTTCACTAGCAGTGGTGTACACTAACAACGACACCAGCTTTGTTCTCCTCAACTTCCATGCCGCTGCATCAAATGCCTTTTTGTCAATATCGTGAACCCAAGCGACAATATACTGGTGAGTACATAATGCATATCATAAATGATCCAATAGAAATCATTGAAATCGGTGCCAGAACGATTCGTTGAGTATTAATCAGGGATTGCTCGGTATTGAGTTGATCATTGATCATCAGTCAATGGATTGCTTGTGTTTTGGAGATGGTAGATCAGTACGAATATTCCATTATCATTGAAGCAATTGTTTGCCATAATTTTCCGAAACCTAGCAATCTCGGAGATTGGCTAGAGATATGGCCTGAACTGGGAATAGTCGAGGAGAGTCAAAAAAGTTTTAAAAAATTGACGAGAAATGAAGATTGAGAATCGAAGATTGAGACAGTAAAAGTGTCCAAGCTCTTTGTCTACTTTCCTCGCATTTTCTTATCTCGTTCTCATCCTTTTCATTTAGTGCGGAGGGTAGATTCCTTGTACCATTCCACAATCCTCGGAGTCCACTTGGAAACAGTGCAAGGGTAGAGGGAAGGGATAAAGTAGTTGGCACCGATTAAACAAATCGCATTATAAGTTAGTTGCTGGCTGCAGCACAACTCTCCCCACCCGCAAAACTTATCCAGCAAAACTCAGTTTATATTAAGACGTACCGTCCTTGGCTGATTTAACTGAACGTAACTATAAACTTACTCGTTGAGTGGCTTCTTCTCTAGAGTATAATTATTTAATTGAATTCCTTCTTAACTGCAAATCTTGGATAACTCAGGGTGAAGGAATTTTCACTCTGGAATTATTGGTCCGGAATTTATGAAAAATTCCAACTGCCATTGATCGAGATTTTGATTAAAGGAATTACTCAGAACTAGAGTTGGCTGTCTATTTGGCAAATTTTTAAACTGAATTAGTTGAATTATGAGGGCTCCCTTTCATTTGCTGAGTATCTTCATAAATTTGTTTTTACAAAATGAATGAGTGCATGACTCGAGATGTAACAATAATTCATTCATGGGTAGTTAACACTCGCAGTACCCTGAGATAGTGGGATGGGTCCAGGCGATTTGAAGAATACGAGAACGCGGACTCGTAAGTTGTAAAGTTTTTGCGGACGAGTGAGGAAAGCCACGAATAAACTAGAATAGAGTTGGATAGATAAAATTGTGGAGAAGAGAAGAAAAAAAAAAGCTCTCAAAGAGGAGGAGAAATCTATACACACATTGAGAAAGTAGGGAAGAGTGGAGAAAGAAAAAAAATAAAAGAGTGAGTGGAGTGAAGTGAAATAAGAAAGACAAGAAGAGTTAAGCGAGGTGGAAGGATATGCGGCTTGGTGAGGGGATGAACCAAGGAAGAAGGAACCGTCCAATATTTCAGTAAAGGGCTATGGGTGAACCAGGGTGGCACGTAAAATTGAGACTGCGTGAGCGACCACTTGAAATATCTTGTCGCCAGTGTGCAAAACTTTTAGACTCGGGCAAACTGAAACATGCTGACGTAACCATGAAGATACCGCATCTGTGAGAAAACGAAGAAAACTCAAGGAACAAGCATGTCCGAGAATCTCACCCTTTTCTTCACTTTCCTTCTCCCCTCCGCCCTTCCACCCTTCCTCCCTTCCTCCCTTCCTCCCCTCCTCCCCTTCTCCCCTTCTCCCCTCCTCCCCCCATCACCTACCTCTTCTCTCCCTGGCTTTTCATCACTTTTAGTCTGATCAATTAAATTTTATAATCATCCACATCCATAAACAATCAAATAAATTATATATTCTGGTAATTATCCCTTTACATGTGTGATTGCATATATCAATCAAGCCTGAGCCTACCTTGAAATATAATATTCCGATAAGTCCTCGTCTGCAGGATTATTATATTTAATATATAATATATAATGTTACATATGCAATAATTATTATATAATTATTAGAATATATAATTGCTGAGTGTTTTCGAGGGGGAAGATGCTGCTGGGAAAATGTTGGGTGATATTGAAAATTTTTAAAAGACAATGAATCATTTTCTCGCAGTGAGGTGCGGTAACTTTTCAAACAGATAATCTAGCCGTTTATTGAAGAGTATTCGGTGGAGTTGAAGTTCGAGAGTCAGTGGCAGAGAGTGGTGGGTTGGTTGGCGCCGGAAAGACGCGCCACGGCGCCACGTGGCCATCCCCATCCTAACATTTTCCCTTGGACCAAACTCACCCCTTCGCCAATCACCTCATACCCACCACCGCACATCACTTTCCCCAGGAGCTAACGGTATTACCTACACACCCTTAATTCCTAGGGGTTGAAAAATCTCACCCACGCCTGCGCCAAAACTCCCTTTCTATCATGTACTCTGATGTACTCTGAGTGTTTGAGTACATCATAGTGATCGCGGTCAAATTTCATAACGATTTATCGATTCTATTTCGATGCTTGTAACCTATTCGAGGATTGACAACCTTTCGGCCCTTTTTTCCCTTTTTTTGGGGACCTTTTTAGTCAGTCTCAGCCTTTGCCCTCGGGGCTCAGTAATCAGACTCATCAATCAAATTATCTGATTCTGACTATCATCTCGATCTTTCGACGAAGACTTTTGGTGAAGACAGGTTGCTATTCAGGAATTGATCCTCGAATTGTCATTCTGTCGTCTCGATGATAAGATCATTTGAATTCTTAACTATATGAGTTTGAAATTCAATTTCAATCGGCAATCGAAAATTCCAGAAAATTGAATTTTTTATTTTGAGGAGTAATCAATCTTCAGACAAAAGTATGAATTTGAAGTTCTAAAACCTGAACTAAAAATCCCAATATTTTACCCATGAAATTTCAAGTGTAATCTTGCCCCAGTCCACCAATAACTCACAGACAGATAAAAATCCCGACAGAATTTTGAATTACGAGTGAAAATTTCCGATTTAATAAAAGAGACATAAAGAATCATAAGGAAGAGGACAAACGGAAGTCGACACAGACGAGTAAAGTACGTGAATAAAAAGAGTCAGCGAAGAAACCTTTGAAGAAGTTTTAAAAAGTTGAAAAAAAGTATGTAACGAATGAACAGAGGAGGAGTCGGAGGTGAGAGGCTGGAGGGTGTAGCTGGAGGAAAACGGTTGATCCTGGGGGTATGAGACCAGCATAAAAAGAGAGCAAGTAGAAGAATCAGATCTCTCCTTGAGGAACTTTATAATTCTTGGGACGCTTTTGGGGAATGAGATCGACGGGGTTGGAAAGTGGTGAGAGCAGGCCAAATCCAAAAATGCTGCGAGGAAGGGGAGTATGTAAGAGGAAAGGCTCGCCGACGGAGTTGAGGTAGTAGTACTGGCGCCATCCAATGTCTCGTCGAATAGCCGTTGACTTTCAGACTCTCGCACCCAGTTTTCCAACCCAAGTGGCTTCTAGCTTCGCAGGAATCCCGTCCATCACGTGCTTTCTTACCGTGACCTTTTTTTTTTTCTTTCAACTTCTCCGAAAAAATTGCATTCTTGGATTTAGAGCTTTTTACTACATTACACCGAGAAAGAGATTCTTTCTACTTGCCTGCAAATTATGAGACTTTAATGGCGATTAAAAATAACCATTACGAATAATTGATGAACCCCCAAATCTCCAAACAATCTGCAACAATTTTTATTATTATTTTCAATTAATAAGGGAGACAGAAAAATACGTGGAAAATTCAGTCTCATTTTCTCCCCATCTCCACATTTCTAACTTTATCTAAGATAAATAGATAATTATAATGACTATTAGATTTAATTCAGATCTTTGATAATTTGGTATTAATTAAGGATTTAATTCACGGTGTGACCCTCACCGATACCGATTTCAATTAGATGCAGTTAAATTCTGAATCAGTAAAAAATCCTCATTCTATCAGTCACCAGGCAACACATTACGAGTCTAGTGACGTGGAAAAAAAAAATCAATCGACCGGGACAACGTTCGTGTCAAGCGCGTCTACATCACATGAATAAGCCATCTGAGAATATTTTCTTTTTCCGTTAAAATTACATCATAAGAAAATTTCAAGAGCCAGTGAACTGCGAGTGCGTTTATTACTAAAATATTTGATGAAACTCCAATTTTGATTTCCCCCAGACGAAAACGAGACGAGCCCCGAATTTTACTTGATAAAAGCATTTCATGCCGATAAGAATTCCTCACGCTGGTGACACTCTAAATTGACAGTCTAGGATACCACACAGTTGAAGAGAAAAAAAAGCCGAATGATAGAGGTGACTTAATAAGGTGCCTGCTGTCAGCGGGTGATAGTGAAGTAACTTTGTTTGGAAGAATTTAAAATTGGATTTATAAAAATTATTCTAATAGATTCCTCTCTCGACTGAGTAAAAGCCGTCGTCTGAGGAGGCAAATGAGGTAAATTTGATTTGACACGCGGGTCGACTCTAGTGGAAGATGACATCTACTTCTACAGACTCTAACTTTTTCTCTCATCGTCTTCCCTCTCTACCAATTTATCCATATAATTTTTTCTCTTCTTTTCTGCCTCTTCCATCGTTTCCCTCACTCTGGAGTAATGCGAATGGAAGAGACAGAGTAAACGTGCAGCTCAGATCATGCAAATTTCAAGATCATCGTGTCAATGAGTTGAAAAGCCTCTTCGAAGAGAATCCGATAAAATGATAGAATCTCTCGCCAATCATCGAACTGACGTGTGCAGAGTTGCGTTGATGACAGGAAGCTACTGTAATTAATTGATCAATTAATATCGACTGTTCGAGTGGAAGAGCCAGAGGGGAATATATTTATGCACCCCAGGGACACTTGACTCTGGTGTAATAACAGTCTTGATTTGGTATTTTCAGTGCCATTAGGAAAAGCTCTTATAAAATTCTCGAGTTGATCTCTGATTATCTCGGATTTGACCAGATGGTTGGAACTATTCACTCGCTGGCTATCATTGTTCTTTCGGGAATAAATGAAAAGGACTTGGCAATGGAAATACTTGGCAAAAAAGCTGAGGCCATTTAATGTAGACCATTGGAAACCCGGAGCGATACAGTGGCCGGCATATGGAATGATTTGCCACAAGTCAGTTTGTAACTCACGACTCGACATGAAGAAGCCAACACTTTCTGGGAGGTGAAGCAACAAGTCTTCTTGGCGGCATACAATCCCCTGTCCTCCAGGAAGTTACCAGAATCGAGAAAAAAAAATTGACAAATTTTTCCGGAGATGCAGGCAAAAATAACCGCGTCCTCTGGTAAAAATTCATTCGATTACCCAGAGTGAAAAAAAAATCGACAGCATTTTTTTTTCTCCACATTTTTTTTTTGTATATTCGTAAGTTTTTTTTACATTTGATTTGGAGTTGGCGCCGGTGTCTGCAGCCCGGAAAGACGTATGGTTGTGCTTTCGATATTTTATCGAAAAAGTCTCTCCTTTTTTTTTCCATCTCCCACCAGTTTTTCATTCCAACGTGCGGTGTATATACGCAAGTGGAAATTTATGCCACCGATACTGGATAGAAAAATTTTCTGGGTCGCACCGTATCACTGTTAAATTTATCATCCACTTTTGAAACACAACGGGAAGTAAAGGAATGGGATACATGAGTTTCAAATTGAGTTGGTTGGGGGTACAGTAAATATCGAATTATTAACGTAATTTCCTATGTAAATTATTTGCCGGTCTCGTCTCTCCGACTATTTTACTATCGCCTATGGTACAGTGTCCATTATACCGAGATTTTTCATTGATAAGTACCTAGAAATTTTCGGTGGTATGAGAATCGAATGGAGAATGAAAATTTATAAACGCAACGGTTGGATCGAAAATCCGAAATTTATGCTTCCTTTCCGTTTTGCGAACACACGGGGTTTGGGAAAAGTGTGTAGGATAGTTATAGATATAGAATGCGACAGAGATGGAGGAGAGAAAATCGGCGACGAACGAACCAGACATCCTGGCACCCGGAAACCTGACGAATCCCATCCTCTCGAAACTTGACACAATCGCTTCGCGGATTCAACCGTTGAAATACTAGTTCAATCTGGGTTGAATTAGAATGATTTTTAAACCGAAATCAATACCCCATTCATCTCCATCAAAATATCCTTCTATTCTCTCGTTAATTAATTGACGTTTCCCCATCAATTGTGAGTCACTCTGGCGAGAATAAAGAATAAATTTATTCTATTGAAATTATATCCGATTTATTTCCCATTTTCATGCATTAATCGAATATTTTGATTTTTGTTTCAGGAGTTCAAGGATGGAAGGACTGCCGTGACGATCGGCTTGTGATAAGATGTAGAAATAATTGTAGAATTCGAAGATATACGTACTTTAAGGATGGCAGTTTACGCTAGATAGTTGCAATTGCGTCGATGTAATGAGAGATAATAATTATAAAGTAAGTGAGAAAGTGAGTAATTAATTGTGGATTGAATGATTTCATTCCTATCATGGATGACTTTAGCCACATTTTCTCAAACAGTTAACCATTTTGTACGAAGCCGTGAACTTAATAGCCATGATTTTTTATTCCCCGATACTCAGTCATCCTTCGTAAATATTAGTCAATAATTTTTGTGGCGTCTTGAGGGCAGTTGCATCAATTTCTAGCGACTAGTATCTCAGGATGTAAATAAAAAATATAATGGACATTCTACAGGATAAATATTTTGCAATTGAAATAAATCGATACTGATCTTTCCAGATAAATTCTTGCACTGAGTGTTCAGTAAAAAATCAGTTAAAAGAATTCGTAAATTCGTAAAAGGAAAACTATTGATTCATTTTGTCAATATCATAAGAGAAATTAAAATAATTTATTCGCTCTTTTTGTTTATCTCGTTGATGGAAATTGGTGCAACAATTTCTCACTGTTTTCAAGACTCCCGCCACAGTTTAACAAATTGCCTTAATTCATGGTAAACAATACACAAAAAACAACAAGAAAAAAAGCCGTCAACTGTACAATAACTTTGATCGGTGCTTAAATCGTTGAGACGCTTCGCTACGTTAGTCAATAATTGTGCCGTGATTGTATAATGGGTAATAATAAATGAAACTAATAATAACAATGAACAAAAGTCCAGGAAAAATCGGATGTACTTTGTGTCAATAGATATTCCGCACAGTAACAGGATGGCAGTCTTCATTTAATTTTCTTCAGTCTACAAAAAATCTACGGGTATATTTCAATTCAATTAATTTAATTACCTGAGCACACGAAATCTGGCCTGAATTAGTGGCATCATGGATCGAAAATGATCAATGATTTCCCAGAAAATTGCACATCACTCTCAATTTACGTAGAAAAAAAAAAACACAAAAACGAAATATACAACTGCGTGGAGCTCCTATTACGTATGTTATATACATGATTTAGGTAAATAAATGGGAAGTAGATAGTTAGTATAATTAAATATCCAGGTGAAGTGTCGGTATATGAGTGTGCAAAAATGTGAAATCTATGTGAATTATTGTAGAAAAGAAATGCGTGTGTATGCACGGAGGGAGAATATACAAAGATGGATAATAAAATAATTGGGTAAGCTAGACTAGAAAACAGATTGTTATATTGTTATAAGATAGTTTTTAGATTTATCGTCAAGGCGAAACGATTACAAACGAGTCGAACTCTTTGCGAATGACAGATGAATATGAATAGGATGCTATATATTAACTGTGTAAAGAATGAAAATGGTAAAATAAAAAATGTGTAATAAAATCAAAAGCGTCGGCCTAGCTGTTTTGTGGAGCGATGTGAATGATGAGCTATCGATGCAATTAATCTGTTATTTATACTGAATTTATTTCGAAATAATCAATTCTGTTCCCTTCATGTTGCCGACGGTGAGAAATATTGGAGGATTAACTGATTGCCTTATGTCGTACTTTTATACTTCGACAGTGCTGTCCAATATGTAATTTTAATAATTCAATTTTTTAACGACATATTGTAATTATCATTATTTCAATTTTCTTCCCTTTTGCGCACGAATGAAATCATTTGATCAGAAATTCTGGCGTTTTTTCTATCATAAACATGAGATTGTACTTTTCACCTTTCAAATTCCTCCAATTTTTAACGGGTTTCCGCCATTCTTAAGGATTTTTTTGAGGATTGCAGAAATGAATTGAAAAATTCATTAGAAAAAAAACAAATTGAAAGCATCTAAAGTGATTTAAATGCGTTAATTGGGCGTTAATCGAAGACACTTCATAGAATTTCGTTTCATCGACTTCCGATGGAGATTTATAAATTGTCAGAGCAGACGGTAACTTTTTCTATCAAATTATTTCATACGTCTTGCCACCCACAGTTGTGATTCAAGCGCACAGACGTGTGCTTTGTACACTGATAATACAAATTATATATAACAGTCGTTTGAAAAAAGGAAAAGCTTAGATAAGTGGAATGGCGTAGTGAATAAGCTGAAAAATCGACACATAGTATGAAGGAATTTCGGTTTATAGTGTACGAATACCACTATTTAATATAATAAAATTTATGAAGGATATAATAAATGGGTTGCATAGGAGTGTGGATTCATGTTTATTTATGCGAAATCGATTTCGAGATTGATTTTATTTCTCCTCTTTATGCTAAAATCATACTGCAGGATCCGCTGAAAAAAATCGGATGCAAAAAAATTATCACTTTTTCAAGAAAATTGTTGACAATTAAAATCAATTCACCACTGAATATCTCTCGATAAAAAAATATCGAAAAAAGAAAAAAAAGGGGATCTGCGAACCAGAAATCGTAACCGGATATCCGGACATAACAAATTAATTTCTGTTTTTTCATTAAGATGTTGGAAAGAATCGATTATAAAATTTAGGTTTTTCAACTTAACTACTGACTACCATTTTTATTTATAAATTATAGATACCATTATAGCATTTTTATTTATAAATTATTCCTCCAGTAAATATTCATGAACTTCAGAACAAGTTCACTGATAAAAAGAGGATTCATTTAATTAATTCCGATATTGTAACACCCGCTGTCTTCGAGCGATGATTACCGCGAGTGAAAAGCATAAAATTAAAGTTCAAAATAATAAAAATTGAAAAAAACGAACTGAAAATAGTATTAACCAATAGTAAAACGCAATCATCGCGGACTCACAGATCATAATTCTTCATGAATCATAATAATTACAGCTACAATATCGCAGTTATGTAAATAAGATAAAAAACTGATTGTTTCGAATTGACTGTGTCACTTGTGGCGAGAACTCGTTTTGCGTTAACTCTAATAACATGTCAAGAGGAAGGGGAAGAGGATTGGCAAGAGGAAGGGGGATAGATGCATCAAATTGCACCAGAGAAATGATTAAAAAAATATCTGTAGATGGCGAATTGTGGAAAATTTCTTATCTTGATATATAATGGTGATGACAGTGCAGTTATGCACATAACGTAAGGGACTCATCGTTTCGCATTTACTTTGTTTATACGACCTGGTGGGAGAAGTGGTAAGGACAGATACCATGCGTCAATTCCAAACGAGAATGAAGTAAATGATTACTTGGTGAGCGCCTACTCGAAGCGATACAATGGAAATTCTTTCGGTCCTATTTGTTTTTCTATCCCTGATAATTGCATACAAGATCATCAAAAAAATAAACAAATACTATTCCTGGAGATGCAGAGCCAACAAAATACCGGGACCACGCGCTCGTTTTCCAATAATCGGTGTGTCATGGGAATTGATAAAAACCAAACCAGAAGGTGAGGGAATATCATAGAATTAATTATTGCTATTCTAAATTGTTGAACAATTGCAGCATGAAAGGATAATGTATTGTTATTCTCTGAATATTAGATCGAATCGGATGGTTTCACAAAATAGCAAAACGATACAAAGATGGAATTTTTATAACATGGATTGGTTTTGATGCAACGATTCATATCAATACACCAGAGAATGCTGAGGTAATTATACTATTTTATATTGATAATGTAATCACTGTGTTATATTTTTAGATAATTCTCCGGAGTACAAAACACATCGACAAAGGTTTGGCCTACAATTACTTAGTGCCATGGTTGGGAAAGGGGTTATTAACATCATCAGGTAAATCTGGAAATAAACATAAATTCGCTGACAAGGAGATCATAATGAGAATTAATAATCTTTTAATTAATTATTTTTAATTTTTCAATTAATCATTCAATTCAGGAGAGAAATGGTTTCACGATCGAAAACTGATAACTCCAACGTTTCACTTTGGTATTCTGGAGGATTTCGCGGAAGTTATGGTTGAAAAATCGGCGATACTCAATCAGAGGTTGAAAGAGCAAGTACAATTGCACGGTAACGAGCCCTTTGATATATTCCGCATGATGGGAAAATGTGCGCTGGACATTATCTGCGGTAAGAGTATTTTTTGATAAAATGTTGATTCGATGAATTTATGATGGATAAATATTATTGCAGAAACTGCGATGGGAGTGAACGTTGATGCTCAGGGCCAAATTGAGAATGAATACAATCAAGCTGTTGAGACGTACGTATTTTTTTATTTTTACATGTGCTTTGTTCACTCCAAATAATTGGTAACAGGAATTTGTACTCTTCAGTATTTCAACGTACGCATTAAACCGCGTATTTCGCCCTTGGTTGAAACCAGATTGGATTTACTATATGACGGAGAAGGGAAAGAAATTCAAGGCTGCCATCGAAACAACTCACAAAAGATGCACACATGTAAACATATTTGCAATCATTCTCGACTAATAGTAACAAAAATGATAAATTTTATCGTTTCGGTTTGCAGGTGATAGAGCAAAAGAAGTCCGAGAGACAACAGAATCTTAACAGTGACGATAATATTCAGAATGCTTTCGAAGGAATTGGTAATATTTTTTATATGAAGGTCAAGTCGTAATTGTTAGACTTAATGATATTTGATTTTTTGACGCTATTCTTCAAATGAAGGATGATTGTCAATTATTTGTAATGATGTGACTGGTTTCGTATAGTAATTACTAAAACGACAACTCATTAGGAAATAATCGCCGATTTTCTGATTTTTTTCACTCTTTCATAGTAATAGAAGAGGACACAACACAAAATGATCGAGTGCCTTAAGATAATGAATGAGTGAGCAGAATTTTATCGTCAATCGGCGCTTCCATAAATTATCACTGTTTTCGAGATATTTCCCTCAAAATATAATAATATAATAGCTCTTAAATATATTCACAGATTATAGATTTCCACGTTATAATGATTAATATAAAAAAAAATGATATTCCATTTAATGTATGACTTATATTTTCGTTTGTTGATCACTCAGGGGGAAAAAAGAGACGAGCATTTTTGGATTTACTCCTAGAGTGCAGTGAAAACACCAAGGAACCTTTGACTATCGAACAAATCCAAGAGCAAGTCAACACTTTTATGTTCGCGGTAAGTCCCTCTGGTAATTTTTGTGAATGCCAATAAATAAAATAGAGATAATAAATTGAGATATTTTTGTAGGGCCATGATACAACTGGTGCTCTCATGAGTTGGGCTCTGTTCAGTATTGGGAATGACGAGACAGTGCAGAATAATATTCATCGAGAGCTTGACGAAGTGTTTGAAGAGACGAATGAACCAGTGACCACGAAACAAGTACCTCATTTGAAATATTTGGACAGAGTTATAAAGGAAGTTCTGAGACTATATCCAAGTGCTCCTTCAATCAGTCGAGGCATTTCCAAAGACTTAGAAATCGGTACGTCTTCCCAGTGGAATATTTAAATACAATTATCCAATAGCAATTATGCAATTGCAATATTAGTAATTTATTAATGATAATCAATTATTCAAACAGGATCATACACTGTTCCTGGTGGATGTACGTTGGCAGTACAGATTTATCAACTTCATCGAGACCCAAGGCACTGGCCAAATCCCACCCACTTTGATCCTGATCGATTTTTACCGGACCGCGCAAAAGATCGACATCCTTACAGTTACATACCATTCAGTGGTGGCCTACGAAATTGTATCGGTCAGAAATTTGCGGTGTTGGAGGCGAAAATACTATTAACTGAAATACTCCGAAAATGGAAAGTCAAGAGTCTCCAGAATCACGAAAACATCAAATATCGTAGTGCAATTATACTGCGACCACATGAAGGCATTTTTATGAACTTCTACCCCCGACATTAATTGTCTATTGAACTCTTATTTCAATGCATTTCATTCACTAATTGTTCTGACAATGTATTTACAGTGGGTGCTAATTTGAAAACACATGTACCCGATGTATGAAGTAAATATTTTGAACTTTTTGACGAAGCGTTCAAAGTAATTATTACCTTTACCTTTAGGGAGGGGGGCATCACGCAGTGGGGGTGTCTGCTCGTCATCCGACTCGGTAACTGCCTCAGTAGCAGTTCCGCTGTCAGAGGGACCAGTCGACGGGGTGAATTTTATTTTCTGTGGTATGAATGGTTTTTTTTTTTATTTTTTTTACTGAAATTTAGCCGACTGTGGTACAAGCGGAAGGGGGAAGCAACATCTTGTGGGATTTCTAATGGAAAAATTATTCAATGCATTGAATATATACTCCTAATGAAATTATATTATTACAATAAACGCGTTGTCCTAGCGGTAACGTGCTTGGCTACCACGCCAAGGGCTGGAGTTCGATCCCGT